GTCATACAAAGTTCTTAAACATCCGTTTTGAGTTTATATATTACACAGATATGAGAATTATACCTAGATATAATAACAAAAGTGCATTTTATATTTATAGTTGGTTTCTGTACCTTATCACCAGTGATGCACTTGTCAGCTAAATTCTTATTACAGTACATATTCAACTTTAAAAATGCAATTTGTAAAGAATAATCCTTAGCAAACTAATGACGTTAACACATCTCTACATTCACCCACATTTCAGTAAACTCATTACATCTATCTTTATATTTATCTCTTGATTAAAAGCAGTTCGAAACTCCTACTCCTGACTTTTAATTTTCACCCTTGATAATGAAAACAGTCTTTGTACTGTATATCTAAATATGTCTTAGTACCTTTGCTTCTAACTTTCATTTCTGAACTTTATAGCTGTACTATGTACTGTATGTATATTGTACCATCAGTAATGCAAGTTTTGTTGCTATATCCACTTCTTTCCTATAAAATATATACAGTCAACCCTCGCTTTACGCGGTCCCACTTTACGCGGTACCCTGCCGAACACAGAATGCTCACTTTCCGCGGTGCGTGTACCCCTTTACGCGGAGAGCGGCTGGCGGTCCTCTCGCGCCGCGCCATTTTTGGATTCAAACCTCCCGCCATCCGCCATGTTGTGTAAGCGGTGCGAGTAGGTTGCGCAGTGTATGCCTTTGTTGCATTATCGGTGACGTCATATGACGCAGCGTACTGTGATTGGGCAAAGCATCCTTACCTCCCTCCCTCCCTCCCTGCTAGCTGTGATTGGTTTAATGTAGTACTATGACGTGCCCCGCCACGGGAGCGTTCAAGCCCATTGACCTACCACGTCAGTTACACCCCTCCCGGCTACATCGTGTATATCGGTATCCATTGTTCCATAAGAATGGCTTCCACCGGACCACCACCACCACCACCACCACCACCACAAAGAAACCTTGCATTACCTGGACCCAGCCGCTCTAAGCCAAAGAAGATACGACGTTCCTTAAGCTACGAAATAAAATATAAGATCATACAAGAGTTGGAGAAAGGAACAAGACAGGTTGATCTCGCGCGCCAGCATGGTGTTAACGAATCAACTATCAGGACAATTAAGAAGGATGCAGCCAAGATAAAGGAGCACATGAACATCACAAGGTCTACAGGTGTTTCTATGATCAAGTATTTCCACAACCAGGTGCTTCTCAAGACGGAAAAATTACTTGTGAGCTACTTGGTGCGTCAGGCGCGACGGAACATGGCGGTGGACACGCGCTCAGTTAAGGAGTACGCACGTGAACTGTATGCTGCAGTGTCACGAAAGATGGCAATTACAGAGCCCAAACCTTTTAATGCTTCCTCTGGGTGGTTACAGAGGTTTAAGAAGAGTAACAAGATCACCAATATCAACATTGGTGGTGAAGAAGCTAGTGCTGACCGTGTTGCGGCTAGGGAATTTCCTCCGTTTTTACGTGAGATAATGGAGGAAGGACAGTACACCGATGACCAGGTGTTTAACATGGACGAATCTGGTCTTTTTTGGAAAAAGCTACCTTCCAAGACCTTCGTTGTGAAGAATGCCAGCAAGTGTTGGGGCCAGAAGTTGCAGAAGGAGCGCATCACCGTCCTGTTTACCACCAATGCCTCCGGTACCTGTAAGCTCAAGTTATCGGTGATCCACACAGCACGCAAGCCGCACGCCTACAAGAGCATGGACATGATCAAGCTAAATGTCCACTGGCTGACTGCATGTAAGGCGTGGATGTTCTCTACACTGTCCCTCTCCTGGTTTGATGACTGTTTCGTTCCCGATGTGAAGAAATTCTGTGAGCAACAGAATGTGCCATTCAAGATTTTGTTGCTGTTTGACAACGCACCAGGACACTCGCCCCTACTGTTAGATCGTCACCCCAACATAAAAGTGGTCTTCCTTCCTCCCAACACTACGTCTATAATACAGCCCATGGACCAAGAATTGATCTGTAATGTAAAAGCTGCATTCTCTGCTAAAAAATTCAACCTCCTGAATGACTACACCAACACCAAGGAAGAGTTGCGTAACCTGAGTGACACCAACACTGATAGCAAGAGCGAAGACGACGAGGATCAAAAGTTGGCAGAGCAAGAAGTACTTTTGAAACAATTCTGGAGAACATTCAACGTCAAGAAAGCTGTGGACTTCTTGGTGGAGGCATGGGATCAGCTGTCTGTAGTAACTGTTCGTCACACATGGAGACATGTGTTGCAAGGCATTCCGGGTGTTAGGCAGAGTAAATCTGTGACTGGTGAGGTTCAGACTGTTGCAGTAGCAGTGGACCTTGCCAGAGAAGCTGCACAGAGTGTTACAGCTGCAGGCTTCTCCGAGACCACCAATGACGACATCCTGGAGATGATAAGGGATCCTGATGTAACTACCGACGAGATGGTAGATGATGATGACGTCAGTGAAGAGGCAGGTGGTGCGTCATCCCAAGAAGAACGACGCTTATCCCATAGTAATGTAAGGGATGCCATCGAGTGTATTGAGAAAGTCAAGCTCCTCCTATTCGACGACCCTGACGCAAACAGGTATGAAATCTTCACTACCCAGCTGTTGCAGACTATGGAGCCCTACATCAAGGTTTATCATGACAACATAAACACCAGCCGTCAGCAAAGCATAACAGAGTTCTTCGCCCGCAACCCACCACAGCCAGCCCAAGCCAGTGATAGTGACAGAGGCAGAGACAGTGATGATAACTTTGAGGGATTTGTCAGGGAGGCACTAGTAAGTGTGGATGACACCAATGAAGACTCACCTGAGGGCCAGTAGCCTGCCCTCTGCCTCAGAACCAGCCTCCATTCCCCTACGCCAACCCATCTCTTCTACTAACGTAAGTGTTAACCCCAAACTTGTTTTTTTCTAACCTAACCTTCAGTTTATTATTCTCTTATTGATTGTACCCTTCTATATTATGTGTGTGAATACCATCATAAAGTTAAGATGTTATTTTTAGTAAAACGTACGTATTGTGTCGGGAAAAGGTGGAGTTTGGGGGTCGGCACAGTCTCTATTTCAATTAATCCCATATGTTATGTTGTTTACTTTACGCGTTTCTCACTTCACACGGGCCGCCGTGGGTTCAATTAACTGCGTAAAGAGAGGGTCCATTGTATAAATGTGATTACCCTTACTCCAAACTGAAGATTTGTAAAACATGAAGCACATTTGTATCAACCATTGTTACTGTTCTATTTGTGATTACTGTATACAGGTAATTTATGTTTGATGATAAAAGTATTGTAGTGTTAAACTTCCTGTACACTGGTATTAAACTTACTTCATTATTAACATTTTTATCATCATTTCAGTCATTTTCCATGCCTGTATGTGTTAGTTAAGATGATACTGTAATTTATATTCTGGACTATAGTTTTCATGACTGAAGGAAAATTTGCATAGGTAAAATGCCCTGATATAATGTATGTATATTGTTACATTTGCATGAAGTAATTTGGAAATAAAATTAAATAAAGGCTTACTCATTCGACTTACAAAAACTAGAAATTTTAGGTAATTATACAGTCATCAGAGTTTGTAAGCATATTTTTTTTCCAGGAGTGAGATTTAGTAGCACCAATTTCCAATTTCTCTTCATGAGCCAAATTTCTTTCTCTTTCTGTTTAAATATCTGGCAACATGTACAGCTACTCCCCGACTTACGACGGGATTAGGGACTGACATCCAGGTTGTAAGTCAAAATGGTCGTAAGTCGGAAATGCTTAAATAACACATAGAAAATCGAAAATGGGTGTCTCTTTTTCTTCTCAGTACCACAAAACACCTACTTTTACGCTTGCCAGCCATTTTAAAGTGAATTACAGATGAAAATTTTGTCTGTGTACTGACTTTGGGACACAAAAATACATAATTTGATCAAATTTTGGTACGACTGAGAAGGTCGTAAGTGCGGGTGGACGTAAGTCGAGTAGGTCGTAAGTCGGGGAGGAACTGTATATAGATCTAAAACTCTTTACGACCCAATATTTACTTTACTGTACAGTACTTTATCTTCTTTGCCAATGGTCAGCATTCTAGCCAGTCAAGCAGTAGGTCACATCTCTGTTATAATCTGTTGGTAAGTATTAGGCATGTACTGGCTCTAGAAAGTACCTGAACATGCACCAGTGTTGGTTAAGTCTGGTCATGAATGAGGTTACACTCAGTGCCATCACAAAACCCTGACAGATTATTACCAAGATTCAAAAAAGTTTGCTATGAAACTTACCTGCATCTGTGGCTTCTTAAACTTGAAGCAGTGACCTCCAGAGGCACAGGCAACCACTAGCTCCAGATATGAACACTAAACAGAGTATTGTCCACTGACGTGCTTTTATATATGTTAAATCACCCTTGCCCATCTATAGTATAAGCTAGGGCAACTGCAGATGTTCTAATCTCTCTTGGTACCTAAGGTGCTGGAATGCAGACACCAGTCTAGTAACCCTCTTTTGAACCTTTTCAATCATCTGACAGTCTCTAGCATATCTTGGGGATCACACACAATGACAGTACTCCAAATGGGGAAGCAATTAATTTTTAAGAATTTTACGAAGGGCAAACCATCTAAGTATGTGAACAACGTTCTTTTAAGTCCTACTAAGGTAGTTTTATTTGTTTAATTTACCTTCTCACAATGGTCTGAGAACCTCAACTCATTGTAACATATACACCCAGATCCTTTTCACTTGTGGTCTCAGTTATTGATGTTCCTCCATCACACTGGGACATGATACTTCTCCTTACTACTGTATTGATATGACCTAAGTGTATTATTCTACACTTAAAATTGTTGATTTTAATGATGAATTCTAGCTTAATTTTCTTTGGGAACTAAACTTTATGGTATTTATGCACTGAATTTATTTACAAGAGAACCACAAAAACTCAAACTCTAAGGAACACAAAACATTAAATATTCCAAAAGACAAACAATAAAGGTATAGCAGTTTCCTACCTTTGATATTTGCAATCCCTGAGCTGTGGCATTGTATCTTTCCACCCAGGCCTCCAATGTTTCATTGTCTACTAAATGACTCTGCAACCTATTGACAGTCTTCCTTAAGGTTGATACTTCCTGAAAACACAAACAATAATACTACAGTATGGTGTATTGCAACTATTCCAATGTTTCCTTAAGTTATTTAGAAAATCTGAAAAATGATGAACATGGTATATTTTTTCTGCCTAAATTGGATGAGGTATTTTGTAGAGTATACTGTATGAAAAGATGAGAAGGATTGGTGGAAAGAAGAGAAAAGGTTAAAAAAAAATGGGAAGATTATTTTACGATAATGATATCTAAACAGGATTTTTTTTATTATACTGTACTAAAATGAATACAATATAGTACTGATGAACATTGCCAAATAGAGGTATTTACAGTTTATAGTGTTGCTAAAACTGAGCAAACAAATCATCATTACCATCATCATTATCATAATTTTTCAGCCATTTCCCATACTTACATGAGTCAGGCAGGTAAAGATGACCAAATGTGAGAAAGAAAAAAGAAAAAAATTGAGATATAGATCAATAGATGGACACATCATCATTCCACAATATAAGAACAGAGATAGCACCTGGAATGCATAGAATATTGGCAAAGTTACAGTACTAAAAGTTGATGATGCAATCACAGATGGAAAGTGGTACTGTACTGTATATTCCAAACCACTTTTGTTTTTTGATATCTACCATGAGATGACATCACGAGGGTCACCACGTCAAAGTTCAACTTTGCACCCAAAATGGAGGAAGGGGCAGTGAAATGGATCAATCCATCATTTATAAACATACACTAGGATTGTATCAATACTGTACACTACAAGTGCTGCGCTCATTTTGCACCCCCAAAGAGAGAAATTCTTCGACTCTGATATACAGTATACTGTACTGTATTTAGGCAAGTCTACTGTAAGAGAGAAAGGAACAAACCATAAACTCCCCATGGCCAAATGCCCTGAGGTGCTGACTGAAGTAGCATCTAACTAGGTTTTCTCTTTACTAAAACTGCCATTTTTCATTTCTTAGGAGACCACATTGTCCTGAACGCCTTGAATGTGCTGACCAAGTTAAAATATCATCTCAATGTTATTGTAGGCAAGGCTGGAACCATATGAGAATGTTAATAAAAAGACATGGTTCTTGCTGATTAGCCTGTTTGATAGTTTCTTTATTGAAAGGTATAAAAAAGCTGATAAATGAAGAAAATGAAGCAAAATGCTAGAAAAAAGCTTATGGTAAAAATGTATACCTGTACTGTAACAATGCAATTGAAGGTACGTACATATAGTATATCAATCCTTTAAACTATATGACAACTTGTTTAAAAATTATTAATGCTAACTGGCCAAATATAATAACTGCTTTACAATTTGTGAGTGCAATGATGAAATCTTTAAACAAAAATACCTATTAAACACAAACCTCAAACTTCTTATAAGACTCCTCTTTCATCTCCTTTTCTTGCTGTTCCTCTTCATGTTTTTCTTCTTGTTCTTCCAGGCAATCTTCTAAATCTTCATCCATTTCCTCCTCCTCATCTTGAGTGCTATTGTCATCAAGTTCAGGATCCTCAACACTCTCTATGTAGAGGTCGTCTTGGCTGGTGTGAGAGTCTGGAGTGAGTTCTGCCTTACAGTCTAAGGTCACAAGGTCCTGGCACTGCTCATGACAAGTGTAGCTGCAGTCTGAAAAGTAGAAATTATTTTACTTTAGTCCGTTTGGTCAAACAGTCATAGTCAATTCACAGTCAATCACCCAACAGCCTCTAGTCTCATTATTGTTAATGAGTCACATTCAACCACACACTTACATAGACAACAGTGCACTAACCTCAGACAAAAACATGACAGAGTGATGACCAACCCCACAAACTATTTGTAACAGCCAACAGAGAGCACATGATTTTATATATCTTTTGATTTAATATGTTCAGTAGAGAGCAAATATTTTATACTATACATGTGTAAATGATTCTGTAATCTTTTGATTTTAATAACATAATAACACTGTGAAAGGTGGGGGAATTCCTTACCATTGATTTTAAACATTCAAAAGCTGCCATCGAAAATGAGCCAATTATAAATAAAATCCGAGCTGCTATTAACATAACAACACCACCAACACTACAGCTACTATCACCATGATAACTACCACCAACATGACAGCTGACACCAACAGGGCAGCTGCCACCAACACAACGGCTACCAACATGATAGCTGCCAGCCTGCCACTCCAAGCCCTAAACAGCGCCTTGATGAAGTTTTCTCCTTGTTGACAATGAATCTCCTTGTATTTCCTCTATACTGTGCAGTACAGTATTCAGAGAGTAATGTTAACCCATAATACACAGTCAAATACCACTTAGAGTTACTGTATACAGTATTTAACTTTCTAAATGTGTATGTACAGCTTTCTTGTTCATAATTACATCTTGCCTAAGTGCATAAACTGTAATACACAAATACTGTATATATTTTTTTTAGTCTAACAACAACAAAAAGTAAAAAAAATCAGCCTCTGTTATGTCCACTGGACACCGTTTTGTATTGACTTACTTTTACTTTTATCCTCTTCACCACTGATCGGCTCGTTAGCCGCTTGGGTGATCGGTCACGTCTTTGTTACTTTTCTTTTTCTTTTGTCCTCTTCACCAAATGTACAAATGTTGCCCCACAACATAGAACTGAGTGAGCCAAGTTGTGGCAAAAATTTAAAAGGGTATTCTAGGCGCCTGTACTCTGATCCATAATGATCTTTTGCCTGTGTTCATACTCACACCATCATTTGAAGCAAAGGTTCACTGTACTGTAATTATCTCTTTTTACTATTCGGTAAGTACAGTACAGTATACTGTATTATTAATGGCCGATCTGTCTTCACAAATAATATCAGTTTGATTCTGATACACAATCTACATTCCTATTTGAAAGGTTACGAAAGGTCAGGTAATGTTTTCTGAAGTTTTTATTTCATTTTAAACACACATTTTCCCTCTATTTCAAAGCTCTGCCCACTTTGAACAACTAAAATGACTGATAATGGGGGGGGGGGGGTGTCATATTAGCTGAAATATTCTCCCTATATAAGACTAGGTTAGGTTAGTTTTGATATCCAAATACAGGGATGATCAAAACGGTAATTTTCGATAACTGACCCGTCTCCGATTTTTTATAGAGAGCGAATTTAAAAATGCTGCAATTTCACTGTGTTTTATAGCAATATGTTAAAAAAAATTTATTTCTAAATTAAAGCAAGCCTAACCTTAGCTGATAAGAAAAACATAAGGCAGAAACATTGTTAGAAGACCTCATCAACGTAACTGAAGAAACCTACCTAACCTTACCTAACTTTCTAGCCATGCGGATCTGCCCCTCAGCATATTAAACGGAAAGAATTTAATATACGGTGTAACTTTATTTTTTTTTTTGTAGACATGAGAGCAACCACCCAGACAATGTGGCTCATAACACTGGAGACTGGCATTGATTGGAGGTGATTGGCTGTGTACTGCTGCATCACTGCCGAGAAAGACAAGTACTGTAGTGTGTGCCTAGTCACCTAATGATCTACCAAAGGAAGCAATTTAAAAAAGATGATTATCATATCAGAAATCACTGATGAAAATATGGTAAGGATGTAAACATCAAAACAAATACACGTAACACGTCGGCGGGTTAGTCGTCAATTTTAACTGCCCTCTACTATATTAACTGGCAGCGACCGGGCGACAGTAGGGATGAAAAGATAAACAAATCCAGTAGTACCAATCTTCCAACAAGCATATCAAGAAGTACCAATCCTAAACAAATCAGTAATACAAACCCCCCAACATAGACACTTGGGTAATATTTTCCTCCAGACACCCAGTGATACCAACCTGTCTCTTCCCACCCTAGTACCAACTTGTCTCTCCTCAGTAATATAAAGAACTTTCCAATAAAAAATTAGTAACAAAATGTTTTTCCTCAGCATCACTATCCTCCTTCCCCTACCCTAAGCAGGTGCTAGCCGCTAGGCGGGGTGGGAAATGTTAACCGCAATAGACACAGCCAGCGCCAGTCCTTCTCCACTGACACACACACAAACACTCTTGTCATTACACACACTGGTCAAGTCGAGGCTGACAATTATCACTGGCACACATGCTACCAAGTGATGACATAAACCATTGATTCTCCAGGCTTCTATGCCCTTGACTCTTCAGGCTTTTACGCCCTTAACTCATGAGATATAAAGGCAAGCATGAACTTAGCATGCTTCCCTGTTGGGCACTGTAAACCTTTCTGCGCTTCACCTTGCACAAGGCTGTAGGGGAGTGCCCAATAAAAAAAAAAAAAAAAAAATGCTACCAAGTGCCCGTATCGCCCACACCACTTCCGTACAAAATAGGTAATTTTGTTAGCAGAAGTTTTTTTTCTTCCCTTTTCCGGACTTCTGATTCTTTATATTTCTATAACACGAAGCTGATTTTTTTAAAGTCTTTTGATATTTTGTAGCTTGCAACAAGTTAGTACAATATATTACCTACTAAATCACAAGAGCAAAGAGAGAGCTCCCAGATAGTATAACTTGTTATAAAAACCTATCATTCTAGCTTGGTTGCACGTGGAAACTGTACTGTAACAAACATTTATTAACTAGAAGACCCCAAAATCTCATGAAAATTAGGAATCCCAGCTTATTTCACCTGATAATTAAACAACCTAACCTAACACCCACATTTAATATTAGGGTGTTTAATAATCATCAGGTAAAATTAATGGGAGGTTCCCAATCTTCACGAAATCTGACAATAAATATGAAATGTATAAAATCATCCCTTTTACCTCCGAGCTTCTATGCGGAACTTTGTTCACGACTCATAAAACAAGACTTGTTAAGCTTGTAAAGCGACAACTTCCTCTGCTGAATATTTATCGTGCTAGCTGTATAATAAACGTAACTAGCAATGTATTTTAAATATTTAACAGTAATAGCCGAATACTGAACATAACAAGTGGTAATTGACGCACCAAAGCACACACTCAAGACTTGCTTACGAACAACCTACTTGTTTCCTTCATCATACAGTGATGGATTGTTCCTGATATTTTAACTATATTATATTCCCTGGTGTTCTTATTTGGTACACAACTCGGGCGGATCCAAGAATATCAAAAGGGGAGGGTCCAAGAAGTAGAGGGGGGGTGCTCACATGGCGAGCACAGCCAGCCTCTCAGCTTTGGGGGTGGGGGGGAAGGGGAGGTCTGTTAGCCTGTCCCATTTTATTTATTTTTTAATCTGACCAATGTTATGAGCATACTGAGGCCATTTTCAAGCCATGTGCACTTGATATTACGAGGTCAATAGTAATTACTTTTTACAAAAGCCTCAGAGTAAAAGACTGCATTAAATAAGAAGTATTGTACTGGAATTTTCTGATGAAAAGGGGGGGGGGGGTTGGGCCCAGACCACTGGCTCCGTCCCCTGCAACTGCTATACTTCACCCTGACCATTGATAAAAAATCCTATTTTTTAAAGTACCTGTCCTTAGTGAAGTGAAACACGATTCATAAAGACAGAATACTCTCAGTGAAACAACATTTAATACTACAATAACATGGAAAACAAGTCATTTGCCTATGACATATCCCCTGGCCGAGTTACACAACACTGGTTAATAAAATCATAACTGCCGAAAATGATCGAGGAGACATTTTGGAACTTACACATCACCCATCCATATACTGTACACCACTTGTGCCACGCTTCGTAAAAATCCGTTGAAAATTACTGGATGAGTCAACTTTAAAACTAAAGATTGCAAAAAGGCAACCTTTAACTATAAGACAACTCATAATTATATACGTATTTATTGACTGTTATATCACCCACCTTCGTTGAGGAGAATGAAATAATATTTCTTAAACACACACACACCTCTGATAACACAACAACACGTCAACACCCAGCTACGGTATAACATTTCTCTCAGTAGAAAAGGGGCTGAATTTCGACCTGAAGGTAATGCCACATTCCTATTAACAATGCCTGCAATAATAATCTCTCTAATCCAATTTTGGCCTCTAGAAGCCCTAGGGAGATACCGCTGCAAAGGCAGTCACATCCACTGTCAAAACTATCATCTCCCTGGTGTCGGCTCGATTTCATTGTGACTTTAAAAATTTAAGCAACACACACACACACTTGTTCCTCTTTTTATTCGAATTATCAGCTGACAACTCCAGTAACAAGCAAGGTAACGTGCGTAGTTTGATCGTGTCACAACCGCTCTGCTGGATAACATTCACAATCCTGAAACTGGATACACCAAGCCACTGTTCTTCTCACGATGGTCACACAAGAAATAGTGAAAAAAAAGTAATTTCGACCCTTTTAAATCAATCGTAAATAACTTTCAAATTTTATACGAATTTAAAGATTAAAAATACTACAAAAATGGTGTAGCTTTGTGCGTACTGAATTTAATATATATATATATATATATATATATATATATATATATATATATATATATATATATATATATATATATAAACTGTGATTTGTTAGATATTTAAGACTCTGGCAGTAGAAGCAGCTATATCTAAAACAACAACAAACATACACATAGAGGAAACGCAGAATATACTGAACATTAAATACAATAATAAATTATAAAATATTCGAACAAAAACTACATCTCGAA